TATAGAAAAAATCTTTCCATTCCCGATGACTCCGATACCAACTTCATTATGTCATTTAGATGGCATGATTTGCAAAATCGAAAAATCGGCTATGATGAAAATTTTGCGAAATGACAGTGCTCTACCGAACCATATCGATGTTCTAATTGTTGATGGTTTTTTTTTAATTCACTCAATGAAAGATGTGCCGCAATCGTTCGGCAATATTTCAAAAAAAATTTTGCAAATTCTTGCAAGCTATAATGCTTCATGTGTGCATGTAGTATTTGATCGCTACTGGTCGCCGTCTATAAAAGACTACGAACGTTCGTTAAGGGGAGGTTCTGACAATAATCATGAGTACGTTATCTCTGGTCCGGACCAAGCTAGGACACATGATTTTGCTAAGAAACTGAAGAATGACAGATGTAAAGAAGCTCTTGTTCTTTTCCTCATTTCACATTGGCAAAGTAACGATGTAGCCGCTTTTATAGGCAATAATACTATTGTTACGTCCTGTAGACTCCACGATTCTTTTCTTTCGTGGAAGATCGATCGTTGTCACTCGGATATCATTTATGAAATATAAGTAGTTAATAACAATCTCGGACTGTTTATGGAGAGTAATCAAAGAGTAATCTACCCCTTATTTTTCACCACGGATCTAAATATCAACCACGGGATTGAGGGCGATGAAATTCCAGACATAGAGACCACGGTCCGTTCAAACAAAAGATCGCAATAGATTCTTCTTTCGATAGACGAATAAATAATTGAATCAATTCCTAGTAGTAACTCCATACCCTTGGAGATAAAACTTAACACCGGTGACCGACGGAAGTTTAGAAATCATAGATTACACCTTTGAAACTCGAAGAGGAATCTGTTTATCGTCATCTAATACCGTGGATTCGTAACGGACAACGATCTTTCTTGATATAGTTCTAAGAAGAGATTGCGAACCTAGCGATAAGTTTCACACGAGACAATCAAAGTTTACACTAGCCACCCACTCCTATCCTTGGCGACACCACCCAAAACTGACCAATCCGATGCAAGAAACGGGGCGGATGACTAAAG